ATATATATATATATATTTTTTTTTTTTATTTTTATATATGTAACACAGAGGAGAGAGGTCTGTTATGAATGATGGTGTAATAATGAAAGAGGATGGAATTACAATGAAACTGTTTAAAGAAGATAAGTTGTTATGGTTAGGATGGCATGATGACAATTGCTCAACATTCGACAAAACAATTCCTTCCATTCATTCGCCGTTTTCACTGCGGTAATAAAAAGTTATTATAAATCAAATAACTCACGCAGTATTTTACATCGTTTGATGAGTTTCGTCTCATGCAAAAATATATAACGGCGCATTTCACTAGAGATTGCTCGATTCGCAAACGGAAAGCGGCATTTTTGCGATTGATAAGTCCTTGATCGTACATATGCCAATTGAATATTCATACCGATATCAACATCGAATAACAAACCGCTTGTATTCACCCATTCTAATTACCGCAATAATGCCCTCTCCATCGATGTCACTATCATTCAATTCATCAATCAAATATGTAAGCATCAAGCCTCAATGTTCGATTAGTTGAGTCTAATCTACCAATCTCTTACTCGATGGAGCAAAAAAATGTCATGACTCGAGCTTGTCAGTGGGCTGATTAATAGCTCCTCAATGTACCTCGTCTGTAATGAATTCTGAGGACTATAACTGCGGTCAGAAGAACGATAAATGGTGTGTGCGAAAAAAAGCGCGTAAGCAACGAAAGCCAGTCATCATCAAGTAAATCGCCATCAGAACACGAGTTAAGCCGTCTGTCTGATTGGCAAAAACATTCATAGCTGTGGGCAGCAATTACAACATCAAATATTTCAACCATCAGGTACAATAGAAATTACATTCACTGTTTTCTTACGTGTTCGGTTATTACTGTTACATCGTTATATAAATATTTTACTTATTTATATTATCATTGTGAGTGTAACTGTCATCATTATAATTACTATTATTTGCACTGATATTGTAGGAAACGCTCATTCCGGTTCGCAGAAATGCTCCATCGAAACGTTCATCCAGTTCCAAGTAGATGCCAAACGTTATCTGAAAATTAGCAGACAATAAATCAGGCAGTAAGTTTAAAATAGGATGAAAGTTCGGAATCAAAGATCAGCTGCACGGCAGACTGCTAAATGAAGCATCGAGCAAGTCACTTTTTGGAATGCAACGAAACGCAATCTCAGTTAAATGTGTTGCACAAGTGATACATTTTATTAACTGAATGCAAATATAATATTTATAAATGGCAATAGCGTGTTTATGCTTGATGAATGTATTGAGTTCGAATGTTTAAACGCCTTCAAGTGTTTTTCGTATCTTGAGAGGAATAATTTACCGACAGATTTTTATGCCTAACGTTGAGTGGATACCGTTTTTGAAACCGTTGAGGGAGGAGAAGCCTTTTTTTAGTATTTTTCCCAAACGGGAGATAAACCGTTTCTTGCTGATGACAGTGAGAATGGAAGAGGAAATGATTAAAGAAAAGTGACAGCTTGTAAAGTTGATAAATTGGCTGAGTGGAAGAAGACTAAGAGGATGCTACGGTAACAACAGGAGTCTTTATCAATGATTTCTAATAATGATCTGACTCATATGACACTCTTGTTGGACAGTCGCATGTTTGCAATGATCACAGTTAAACGATTGTTTTACAGGATTACCATCTTTTTGTTGGGTTCATTAAAACGACGTTAAATACTGCTTCAATCCTTACTAGTGATGATGTCCGAGCGAAATTTTATGTCGGTCACTTTTCAAAATTCCGGCAGTCGGAATTGTTCGCTCAGAATCCTACCGAATTGACAGTTTGAATTTCCAACGATTGGAATTCCGACCGACCTTCCAAAATATTCAGAATTCTTGACCATTCATCGGCCCGACACTATCACTAACCCTTACAATCTTATAATTGTGGACTAAATCAATGAGCGGATGAAGAAATATTGATTGAAAACCAAATACTGAGACTATAATAGTACCGAACTACGTTCAACTTCATTATCACCTTTGATCCCGCTCGAAAATCTCTGAGAGCAGTCAGCAAAGTCGCATCTTTTGTTCCGTCCCCTTGATCGATACAAATCATTTGACAACGTGAACAATGGCCAACTACCTGAATTCATCGAAATCAACTTACCCAAAACAAAGTTATCCTCCTCCTTGCCGACAACCGGAGAAAGATGCTGCAACTCACGTACCAAATCATTTTAATCCCTCTTTCTAGATGTTTCAATTTTTCAATCTAATCTTTATTTTCAAAGAGAACTTCTGGAAATGGCTGCATGAATCTACGAATATGATATTAGAATTGTGGTGAGTGAATGAAACATCACCATATGACTCGGTGAATGAAAGATAATGAAGAACGAAATATACATCAAAAAATTGGGCACTACTAAAAATTACATTCAATTAGTTCATAGGAACAATAAAATCTACGTTTATTGTTTGAAATGGTAATGGAGGTTGTCAACGTTTTTAAGTCGCCTACACACTCAGACTAAACTTGTGACTCGATTCTGCATCAAGAAATTCAACTCGATACGAAATGACATCTTAGAGTGGATACATTTATTAAATTGAGAGTGATGCAAAGACTACGATTCGCAAACAGGTTCATAACGAATATTCAAACGACAAGAAATGAATGAAAGTACATTGAATCGAATAGTGTCGATGGTGATAGAACGGATATGGTCCTCAATGAAGCTGTCAATACCATCAATGACCAGATTCGCTCGGAATCGTTTGATTACCTCATCGACGTCGGCACCGATTAGATTTGCTAGATGTCTTGCAGAGGAACGATTTATCAACAAATACGGACTTTTATTACTCAAATTAGCGCCTTTTGAACCTGTAATTCACATGGTAATATATGTGCTGCTCATTTGACAAGCTCAATTTCCAGTTTGCGCTCGTATGTTTGTTGCTGTGCACAAGCACGTGGTAACAAAAGACAGTTCCATAACTGCATAACAGCAACATAACAGCTGGGCAATCGCGCGCAATTCCGCTACCAGCGAAGTTGCGCTGTTGCCCACTTCTGCATTTGATAATATTGCAAATTAGTGTTAAAGAATGTGTAGGTAGGTACAGTGTAGGATGCAGCTTGCGATTTTGTGACTAAAAACAATTGGGTTAGTGGTTGAGACGACTGATAATGAATATGATAATCTGAGATGATTTATTAAACTGTACAGTCAAGTAATGCCTACCTTCGAGATGAGCTGATGGGTATGTAGAAATGCGATTAAGACGGCATCCATTCGTGTCCAGATGCTCGTTGATCCATGCAGCTACCTCATTACCACAGTCAATTGTTGACATCCTTCAAAACATTTTGGTCATTTTACCGCTCCACCAAAACAACACTATCTATTCCCTGTGAAGGTATTTATCTCACAACGATCCGCTTCCCTATGACTACTAATCAAAGACTTTAGCTCAGTCTTTCCAACGCTCGGGTGTTTCTACGATCTAGTAGGCCGTCATTATCCCTCCCTCCCGCTACAACAATTTACTATTTCCACGCTCAGAACTAATTTCCCTATCCTCCTTCCTCCTCCCCCATTACCCTCTGACATCCCCAAGTTATCACAAATGAGTAATTCCCCTCCTCCTTCATGTGGACCCCTGCTCTACCTAGACATGAGGAATTGCAAAAATAATCGCCACTCTATGGAATGGCCTTCAATGTGAGAGTTGGCACAACCTTTCAGCTGTTTATTTATATGATAATTCAAGATAACTCTCTGAGAATATCTTTTCCAGATGGGATAAAGTATCGTTGAACGATTACGATTTTCCATAAACATCATAAAGGAAACGAAGTGCCGTTTAATTCTCTATTAACTACGAGTCTTGTTTTTGAAAATTCAGCTGATCAATCAAATTGACGCATACAGTTCAGCAGTACGGCATACCCAAGTAAACTTCTCATTTTCACACCGTCAATGGACTGCGATTTTTTGATCGCAAACAATTCATATTTATGAAGATGAGATGACCTGTTAATACAATCTGACCGTACAATGATCACTAGCAATGATTTTCAGATTGTGATAGTAAGACGACATGCAAAAATGAAGATTCTTATAACTCATAGTCAGTTATCCGAATCCTCATCAACTGCCGCATTCGATAGATGTGGTACAGTCAAATTTTGAACAACGGTTATGAGGTGGGAACGAATCTCAAAACTTTGTAGCATCTCTTTGCAAGTCGTCAATGGCACGTGAAACGGTGTTTCAGCTCTAACCTGGTAGCACACATACGTGCATCATTCATCAGAGTACTATCGTTATTTTCCAGTGCTAGCTCGATATCGAATCCAGCACTTCTCGAAGTGACAATTAGTTTATTGTTGGCAATCTGCAAGTAGCATCTCTAAATGAATTTCTTGCTCGATATCGCATCCACAGCATGAAACCAGCCATCACTGAATATTTAGTCTGTGGACATTTGGCGTATAGAAATCTGGCATTTGCCGTGATGGACATTTGGCTCGGTGGATATCCAAAAGTATTAGCCGTAAACATTCACGAATTATCCGAAGCGTTTGACTCTAATTCCGGCGATTCCCGGGCTTGACTGTTCCGTAATCAATTAGCTGAATATTTAAATAGTAAATATTGCTGTTTTTCTTGATTTTGATCAAAGTTACATTTCGACTAATGAACTTATCCAGAGGAAAAAATGCACTTGTTCCGTGTTTACCGTCGATGAGTGACGTTTAGTTCAGTTCCACCTTTAACTGAATCAGCCACTGATTGCTCAGTAGAAGCTGAACACTTGATGCCAGAAGCACATCAAATCCCAACCAATAACATACCTGAGGTTGGATGAAGCACAGTGATGGATTCCTGCTTTGAGAAAGAGCGTTTCTATTTCTTGTTACCATCCACTGTCTGTCATACTCTAGTCCTGACAGTTTTACTTTACACCTCAAATCATTTATGAGAATTACTCGAAAGTGACTTGTTCAATAGCAGTGCATTATAAGAGCGAGGAAAGCTTTTCAGTTGATTAGTAATTGAAATAATCATTGAAATTAATTTCTTCATTCTTCATTTAAACATTTAAAGTGAACATTTAACAACTTTTTTGCATCAGCTCATTTTAAATTCTGATTAGCAATTTACTCGTGAATTTTAATCGGAGCACATGACTTGATTGGGTATATGAAGATGTCACGAAGAACTGCTTTATTATTCCGTTGACTTTTACTGTTGATATTTAGCGATTTGAAAATGCGTTTCGAAGTTATGAAACACTCATCTAACATCGTTTCGAACACGTCGATATCCTTTAAAATCTCTTCTATGAATGTAATCAACCACAACATGCAAGAAAAGACCGCAAAATAAGTGCGGCCTTCAGAACCCAGTTATATATCACTTCAAGCTAATCATTAGTATGCAAACAAAATTCGGCAATAGATTCAAGCCGCGAATCGAGCGGAGCATTGATAGTGTTTCGTTCCTCTCTTCCCAATATTCGTGAGCACTCTGGGAAAAAAGGAATTGCGATATTTTTCATTATAGATTCACCACGCAATCATAATGAGTGTGCTTATTGGCTATTGAATGGTATAATTTGCTGCTAAAGGTGCTGATCAAACTTTCTTTAGTCTTCTTTCCATCTTCAGAGTCGAATCTTCTTGGCAATAGATTGGAGTTTGAGTTTAGAATTGTTGGATATATGTTCATGCGCACCACAGCTAGTTATCGAATTTTCCAAAAATAATTTGCCAAAAAGGTGATTAAAAATGAACTCCAAAACATAAACGTGAAATATTTTTACGTCGAATACGTTACAGATCGTTATTTAAGATCAATCGAAATGAAAATGAATTGAAGCCACTGTACACGATCTGAAGACTGTCTTCCGAAAGAGACGCGAACCACACCAACTGGCTTCCCATCGATAAGATCGATTGCATCGTCACAAATTTTACCTTTCTGAATTTTTTAAAGTATTTGTTCAGAAAAAAAATTAAAATCATGCGAGGGAATGTTTGGATTTTATTGAAATTCACGATATGGGAAAAAAGTTTCATAAGAAAAATACGAGTTGATAACATACGAGTCGACTTAATTCAGCGTAATAACTGATTAGGCCAAACAATGATTTTGAATCAAATTTGATGGGTAACCACTAAAGTAAGAGAATGATTATAGTCCGTTAACCAATGCTATTTGAATCGGATGAGTTATCGGTGAAATCAGAAGAATGGAGGATTTCGAAAATAAACTGATTAGGATCATTACACGATAGCAGTGAAGATTATGTAATAATACATACCAAATGGTTGTGAATGAGCTGCTTCTGAGAAATTGATAAATATCTTTGACATGAGCCTTGATTGCATAAGCATCCATAGCGCACTTCTATACCAAACAAATCACACATCTTCTCAACCTGCAAATTGCATTCAGTGTTTTGCCTTGATTACACCATATTATAATTGTTGCGAGCGCTTGTTTTCATTTAGTAATTTATGATGCAATAAATCATTTCAATTCACGACAATCAACTGGCACCAATTTAAAATTATCTTATCAATTCTACACTTTTGCATAGAATCCATTAAATATCTCACATTCCAAGTAGTTTACACGAGTACAGTTATGTATTTTACATTGTGTGTTTGGCAGTAGATATTGTTAATGATGAGAAGAATAGGGAATGATTATTAAAAGAATGATTATTTGACGATGATTTGTGGTCGTCGGGGATCGAGTGTAGGTTAATGCACTTTAGATGCGATATTTTCAACTGGTGTTCATCATATGTAGTGTTCGTCGCGGAGCAATTTTTTGGCTCGGGGAGAACCCTGTCTGGGACTGGAAGGGATCCCGACAAAAAAAGGCGGAGAGAGTCCCGGCGAAGAGGAGTTCGAGCAAGGGAGGTTCGAAAAAAAATCGGGAGAGCAAAACAGTCGGGTGTTGACGCTCATCTGGGAGGACGGGATGCAATTCAACGTAATTTTAGAGAAAATTTCTTCTCTCGATGTACACTTCTGAAAGAAAAACGAAAACGTGATTCGATGACAATACACTCCCAACTACGGCTTTTGTGGAATACGGCAACACCCAGACAGGCCGGATCAAGATTCGCCAGGTCAAGATTAGTTATTTTGGATTCCTAACTGTGCTTCAGTCAGCGTCGAAATGTTCACCAACCAGCGTTTAGCATCAGCACCGAAAAACTGCGCTCTTCCGTTGCCGGACTTAGAACGCCATGAAAAACGTTGCATGCGAAGGTTCGTAATTGTTGGTAATCCCATGGAGAGCTCGTCCTCCTCGTCATGTAGCGAATTGGCTGGAAAAGGGCTCCGACAAAACTGTCGAAGAGCAAACTAACTGATAGAAACTTCCCGTGAGGATGAAGGGACGAAAAAATTCGGAAAACTGGCTAGGGATTACCCTCCGTTGGGGGATTGACCCCGTTCTCTGAAGAACAAATGAAGAGTGCCTGAATCACAGCAAACGAAAAGTGAGCTGTAAGCAACCTCTGTATAACCAATCCAGCTACCATCTTCTCGCAACAAATTGAATGTCACAATTGGACCTTGTTCATCACTACTATCATATCTCCAGTTAATTCCATAAATGTCAGCTATTTTCGCACCATTCGGATGAGTTCGTTGATCAAGAATATGATAAAGCCGAGATGCTAATGCGAATGTTTTCTGTTGTATCACTTTGATGCCTCATGAAAATAGAATATAGGCATTTACGGTATATGACTTATAATTGATCAACAACGTTAATGAATGAATTAAAGCTTGTTCATAATGACGTGAGTGATTGTTTTCATTTAAGTGCAAGGTACTTCATATTCTGAATAGAAATTGATTTATTGTTGCAGAGTCGAATGACTCGTGGAACGCTTCACAAAAGGCGACAATAAGTTGAGGGACTATGCAGTGCTGTTGGCTTAGGTTGCATCTAGTTGACAATGAGGTGTAATGAAAAATTGATAGTTGGTACATCATTCAGTTTCGAGCAAAAGTTTTTGGTTCGCGCGGAAATGTTTTGCTCGAAACCGATTGGTTCGTTCAACGTCATTGATGTTGCCGAACCTGAGCTAGGATATGATTTGGTTTGTATCTAACTATCTCACAAAGATTGAAATGATCTACTCAACCAACCAAATGAGTGCAAATCATCGAATCCATTCTTCAGTGACGCTATACCATAAAAATTGATCGTGCCATCCTCGAAACTGCAAAATGTGTTCTTATGCGGGCAAGTCGCAATTATACAACACTAATTATAGCTAGTTTTTTGTTTATTTTACGAGAAAACACAGTCAGAACAGCAGATCTCTACCCAACAAAGTATAAAATCATTGACTGTGAGCGCGCTGAACCATGAAGCAATTTTGCTTGAACCAATTTATTGCTTTAAAACTCAGAATAAATAGAAGATGTCGTGAACAGACGCGATGCACATGCGAAAATCGTAGGCTTCGAATAGTCGCGAGTGCGTGTTTACGATAGGCGCTTATCAGAGTGCAAGGGTTTAGTGTGACTGCNAGGGTTGCGACAGTCTACTGGTTCAGATTCGGGTTCGAAACTGAGTGATTGCTTAATTAATCTCTAGCAGTTCATCAGTTCAACGTTTTAGTGGTTACCAGCTTTCCTTAAATGTTAACGGTTCCTCAGCAGTAAACGTATGAAGCATCTCGATGAAAAGTTAAGCAGTGAAGAGCTTTAATGAAGGAACCTCTGTACAAAATTGCTGTTACGATGAACAGTAAATCGGTGGTAATCAACCAAATCGACAGTTCCACCACCAAAATATTGTTTCGTTAGTGAACCACGACTGTCATTATGAACCAGTAATGCACCTACACCCGTTGGATATCCGAACATCTGAAATATTTAAGTGAAGTAATGTTTCGATGGTGAAATTTGACTCGTGCTATGTTATCAGAGTCATTCATTTTTGGCCATCTTTTAACCGAAATAATGAAGAAATTTGCAACCTAACTGCAAACTTTGAACTTGAATACATGGAACAATATTTTGGAAAACAGAAGGAAATAGATAGTCTCGAAAGGATTTAAGCGAGCTGTTCCATACTGTCGAGGTATTTAGTATGTTCGCAGGCAGCGGAATGCTTTCGCAATAATTCTTAAATTCACTGCAAGCAAATAACCTTGTACAGCGAAATTGTAACAAAATCAGGTTTATACACTGACAGATCAAGGAATGAGGTGGAAACCAATGAAGCTGCATCTAAACAAACGAAATTCTGACCTGAAAATTATTCATATTTCGTACAGTTCTACACAAAGTCTGCATACGTTCACAAATTAATTTGATCATAGATTCAGTTAAATATTATAACACTGGATGCATTAGATGAATACTTATCCACACTCAACGTACTTGCTTTCAGACTGTGAATTTGTTCGATAACACTGAGCGGATATTTGCGGCCACAGAAGTTACTCATCGCAGTGATAACAAACAGATTCCGATTCACTGAGCGCTGATTGGTGCTGTTATTATCAGTGTTTTTATCAAGCTTGTTTGCAGTGGTATTAAATTGTGATATAATCTTAACCATTTCATCAAAGTGCACACAATAAATTTGACCACAACGTATTTTGATCAGTTCGCGCATGCCAACCACAGACGTATGTGCATCGTTCATGTATACAAACATCGGCGTACCTGAACATTTCCATTTTCCTTACATCACTACTCGCTCGCTTCTGTTAGAAATTTGCTGTTTTTTAAATTTTATGACACTGGTGAATAAAATCTGTTCTTTACTACAACCATATACAGAAAACATTTGCAAGAGGAGAATGAAATACCTTTTTAGTTACTAAGCGATTTGTCATCATTTCACTGTTATGCTGATCATAAATGAACTTAATTATCTCACCCGAATTAGGATCGAATTTGCTCGTAAGATGACACCCTGGAGAGTGGACATCGCCGAAATCAAAGCATTCAGCGACTATTTTCAATGAGTGCGTTGCATTCAAAGTGAATATGACACTGTAGTAATCCGAATTCGTATTGAATTGTTGTAGAATCCTTCAAGTGCACTTCACTTATTTCACTGCCAGTCACACCAATGATCATTCAACATCCCACTTGTATTTCATTCAAAGTTTATTATTTATAGGAATTAATCCAGAAAAAAAGTGAAAGTTGCCTATTTCTCGCATTTTCAATCACATTCCGAGTTTCAATACTCGTCGGATGAAGACTGTGAGGATTCGACAGAGTCAAATCCATGAGATCACGTCCAACCGATGCTAACTGTGATTCAGATGGTAACGTTGATGCTGCATGGTCCAGATACACTCGCCTCGAATTTGATCCGTTTCTCATTGATTGTTCTGAACATATTACGACAAATTGATCAGTCCTTAGATGGGAACATACTAGTAACCATCAGCCGATTGGCATCTAACTGCATTAAATGAGTGAATTTTTCAATTTACTCATAAAAACCTGGGAATTTTGCAATGAAAAAAGTGGCGATATTAAATAACTATTCAGGCTTGAATTTAACAATAACGTTATGATGAGAATGTGCCTAGAATTAAGAGGATATTGCATATTGGCGATTGAATTGCATATTTTATAGGTGTTCGGATCGAGTGTGGAAGTTGGCTCCAGTTATAGAATTGAAATCGGCAGCGAGTGCTTTCACAAAAGCGAATGCAGACAGACGGAAACAAAGATATTTTATTGAGGATGGCAGCGGTGAATGAAGATAAGGCGGTTAAAATGACAGTAATAATAAGAATAGACCAAAATAATGCGCAAAATATGTTTTGACAGCTTCAGCCGCACGAATGTAGCGATAATTGATGTGGTTGAAGATGCTGCACTGCGTCGAAACGTCGTTTTTATGCGCATTATTTTGGCGATTCAAAGTGTTGTTGGTATCATTTTAATCATTTTAAAATGCTTATTCCAACGCAATGTTATTCGATGATGAAACGAGCAACCCCCAAAGGAGAAATTGATTTGAGAAAAGTGAGTGTGCTCATGTGATTATTATTCGTTGTTCACATGAGCATGTTCTCTTCTTTGTAAAGACCGGTTCAGCTCAGAGGTGACGTCATTTTCGGAGAGTTGTTCACTGTAAACACCAGAGAGAAATTTCTGTTTGATAAATAAATTAGCAACGGATCGATGAGAAATTTCATTGAATTGTTGAATCAAAACGCATGCTTATTGGTATCATAATGAGGTCATATTGAGATCATTTTCTTGCAAATGCGAAAGAGAACAAGCGCTTGTCCAGTGGACGTTTATGAAACATGACTCCAGCTGAGATCAGATGAGTAAAGCCTAACAGCACGATCATTATGAAACAAGTGTTGAAAGGTAGGAAACGTCTTGTTTTGGTTACCACAAAGAAATTTGTACACACGATTTTGATGGATCAAGCAGCTGTATAGTACGGTTTTTAGCGATAGATGACTAGTGACCACTTAGCTGTTGATGACAGAAATGATACAATTCAAGGTGAACATACCAAATCGTACGACTTTGTTTGTCATCGTATTTAATTGATAAGCATTCAATGAAGTGAGCATTATGTTTGCACAGGATAGAACATTTACGTTCCGATATGCAAAGCTGAGAGCAGCATCGGTGAGTATCGTCGGGATACGTGAGATACCTTCAGAACATTCGGGAATTGCTAGTTTGTCGGTTAGCTTCCACTACTTTCAATAGCCATCTTCTCCATACGTGTCTTTCTATATCATTCGTATGCTCACTTCTGCTTACAATTACTAATAAAATGGCATATCCTCTTTTAGTCTGAGTCAAAATTTCACCTCTGCTATAATATATTTCGTTTATGAGATATAATGTGAACAGACACGACAACCAAAGTAAATTTGATGATACAAACTTTTTCTCTTATTACATAATGACAAATGTTAAAGTACAACCTGTACTGAAAAAAGTTTTCGTTGGATGGAAATTCACAAATTCTATAGTGTTGACGACGATACGTTTCCGTGTATCGGCAGTAGACCATTTAAATGGCACATGAACATGAAGAGATTATCAAAACAAATACGAAAAAAATACAAAAACGATACAAGAATGAATGAGCTAGTGAGAGTGATCGGTGCGCAAAAAAACATTAATAAATACATTCAGAAAATTAAATGTTTAGAAGTGGAGGTGCTTTACAAGCCTGAATACTGCGCGCTAGAATGAAAATGTTTGCGATGAGAACAATCCAAAGACACCTTTAACAAAAATATCATTGTTTGATGCATTTCAACAAAAGAAAAACGAATTGCAATTAATCGACGAGAGAAAAGCGATGAATAAAATGTGAGGTGATCGTTCATTAAAAAGAAATTTGATGAGTTGCATTCAATCGTTTCGATCAGTGTTTCTCATAGGCGGATACCTCACCCTCTGATAGGTAATTCTGAGGGCGCCACGGAGGTAATTGAGGGTATACGCGAACTTGGTGATAAATTTCAACTTTTCATTGCTGACGAATGTTTTTTTTTCAGTGGTATTTCTTGTAATTAATTGAGGTTCACATTCTTTCCACGAATGATAGATAAAGTTCCAAAAGTATTTGTTCCATTCCAGAAAATTAATTTCTTTCATACCACAGGGGAGTTCCGAACCTGCCTGATCATCGTAAGGGGCAAGCGTGAGAAACACTGTTTTAAATGGAAAGCATGACGACAACATTAACATTCAATAAGGACAATTTAAAAAATTATCAACAGCAATACACGAAAATGGTGAGCGATACCAGTGTTAAGTTACTGAAATGAATAATAGCAGTGAATGATTCAAAAAAAAAAAACAATTGAAAATATCCGAATGAAATACAAGTACAAAAAAATCAGTGAAAGTGTTCGCAAACGAATTAAATGTGTTGATTTCAGAAATATACAAATGAAAAAAGAACATCTGAAGCAACAGGATGACTTCAAACAATGGAATATAATGGAAAATTTTCGAAAGATTAGCAAATTTTTAGTACTATTTAGTATTGAGTATTAAATGAATTGGGGATATCACATAGAACATATGGAACCAAACGATTTGATTACAACAATAATAAATGCCTAGCACTCGAACAATCAGATAACTCAATCTTATAGCGGTTGTATGTGTTGAGATAGACTGAAAACTGACCATAAACAAACTCCTGATATAAATTCATACAACCACAACCATAACAGCACATTCAAAACAGAATTAAAGATATCAAAAAACTGGGAAAAACTGATAAAATCACAAGCATTCTAGACCAAAAATAATGGCAGATGATGAATTTTGAATGAATTAAAAGTCAAGTTACTTGTATAATCACAATGTTTCTAATACAGTCGAATATGAAAAGCGAGCGACTTCAGAGGGCATTATATTATAACTGTGCTTTATTCAATCTCACAAAATATCAGCTCTGCAGATTTGCTCCAGGCAAGATGCTGCTTCGCTGATAAAGATGTGCTTGCGTCTCTTCCATGAAACTAATGTTTTTTGATTTGAACAATCGACGAAATATCAATTTGATAAATTGCAACCTTGCAATAAACGGTTGAAATTGCGACAAAAAACTTATTATCATCATAATCATCAGATATTGTCGATAAATACTGCACATCTGGTAGAATATGACAACGAACCAGTGGTGCAGATTGTGGTACCTGAAAATAATTTCAAGTAGTATTCATTTGTTACTGCTCTGCTATCACTATCATCCTCACTTTGGAATGTATGTCATTCATCAACAGAACTTGTCGCACATCGCAGAATAACAATAATTCCTTGCTCATTAATCCATGATAAAAATCACTTTTCCGATGCTTCTCATTGAATTTTTAAAAATCTCAATCACAAGTTCTTCACCATCTAAACATTTCATACAATTCATCAGAGAACGAACAACTTCTATTGTCACTATGATCGAATAGTCACCAACCAGATTGTCTCTCCAGCCATATACGAGCAAAATTCCATTCATATCGACCGTCACAATCAAACGTATACCATTCGATAGGGTTGTTGTTGAAACACATACAATATCACCGCCGACAGTCTTCAATTCATTCTCCGTATTACAATCTGTAAAGCTACTTTCAACCTCTTCGCAAATACATTTCGCACTTATTATTTCAATATGATCAAAACATATAATATGAAGTGCAGATATCTAAATATAATATCTCACATAACAATATCATAATACAAAACCTGGATTAACAATGAATAATTTGTTGATAGCTTTCCCGACCAATGTCACTTGTACGGGATTCATTGGTATATCCAATTCATTGTGAAAATTCTCTGGTGACATTGTTTGCGGCAGTATCATGCAATTCTTTTCCGCGAATTCTATTTTCACAACATACCTGCAACTCACTCATCTTCATCATTCTTATAAACTCTTAATAGTCGAATTACTATCACCACTCAGATGATTGCGATTAAGAATATTCCTATGAACACAAATACTACAACCTCAAACAATACTCATTATTACTCATAATCACGTATCACTCTTATAATCGTTATCAAGACAATAATTCTGATCAATGAACCTTTGTTGAAGCTGTCCAAGCAGTGCGTAAATACGACCACATCGAGTCGCACCAATGGATAGCGCATAAATTTGTGATGGCACTTCCCATTTATTCAACGTTCTCAAACGACCCTCAATGAAACGATATGTTCGAACTGAAATCATCAACTACCAGTATTCTTATCAAGACTGTTAATTACTTAACCATAATCATCACTTTCAGCAACGTTACATTTTTCACTACTATACTGGTACACAACATCACTGCCATGATCAGTACCAAATGAAATCCACTATATTCTCGTTACTCTTTCAAAATCGCTTGCAATAACCAAAAAGCAATAAGTAAACTCACCAACTCGATCAGTCATAATAACAACCATTTCATCAAGACCATCATTATCAATATCAATTATCTGTGCTGCACAAATGTTTGCATTCAGAAACTGTTCGAACAGAATACTCGGTTGATAGAGGGTATTCTCATCATAGACTGGGAATGACATTGACTGTAGCAGACCATCCGCCGAGATCGCAATCACTTCATCCCTTTAGTAATCATAATTTATCTTTACACTAATCTCAAAATTCCTGATTATTAAACAATGTGATTAAATATTAAACGAAGAATATTATTAAATATTATTAATCAAATATAAATATTAAATATACAATATTATTAAACGAAGAATAACCCACTCACTTATCAGAGTGTCTTAAATTCCCAACTGTAATCGCAGTGATCGGACTATTGAAACGTCCACCGCACTTCGATACTTTCGAACGATCCGTTGTGAAGAAGACAATCTGAATTCAATTCCAGTTCTAGAGAATGCTCAAAATCCGAATTTTACTCCTCCACCATGAATAACTGAACGAATGAACCCACCAAACCAATTACAACTATAGATTCATTTCTTTAGAATTTTGATAAATGCTAGCAATAGTCATATAAATAGTACACCTCTCCGTTAACTTTGCCGACAATGAAGAATGCCTGTTTATGCGGTGAGATTCCCATCAGCGCTGATGAAGATGGACAGTTCAAGTGGGTTGTTAGAAGCGCTTTAGGGCACAGATAAGCGCCTTGACGAAGCACACGCATCGTGATCGACACTGATCTATTTGTTTGAATGGAATGCGGTGTATGAATTCAAAGAATCAGTTGCAAATACAGATCTATCGCATTACGGCAAGCGTCATTCCATATTGACTAGTATTCGCGATTATTACGTCTCCATGTTCACTCAAAATTCTGCACAAACACTCTGTTACACAGCTGAAACTTATTAGCTAATCATAATTACTCTCTAAATATGATCAACTGCAGGGACATGTTGTTGAATCACTGACGGTCGTCGTACGCATTCGTTGGACAGATCCAGGGTCAGGGATTATGGGGCGGTAGGTAGGAGATTATGAATGAAATGATCGGAGAGATAAATAATATTTTGATTATAACAACTGTAACATAGGATGAATTTGGGCAGATAAACATTAAGATGGTGATGAATGCGAAACTAAATAAAGGATGATAATAATATTAATGATCAACTGCCTAATCCTTATGTCAAACATCTTCTCCAGCAAACTTTTTACAATAGCAATCAAAACGATAGTACATTTCAATAGTAGCTCAAATCCTATACCAATTGCAGAATTCTTCGCTGGACTGAATTAATCTGTGTAACAATAAGCAACTTCCGTTAAACATTGAAAATCTACTCCTTGACAAAATTTCTTTAACTAATCGTAAGAGATGTAAACTCATAAAGTAGAAAAAGGAATGCAAGCATGACAGGTCATCGATGTGAATTCATTTTAGTACCGTTTAACAAACTCATTTCGTTTTGCATTACACAACGAAAATAAAAAGAAATTAAGCGATCTGAACGCAAAATGTAATCAGTGAACTCATTGAAACAATCGCAAATAAACTTCATTCTTCCACAAATAATCACTTGTTAATTCTATATCTCTAATAAAACAATAACATATCGTATACAATTCTTCATTCATTACTTCGTCGCAAAACTATGCAAACACACTACCAAAAACAACAATTACAATACATCGATCATAACAACAACAATGACAATAAAATCACACGTATATTTCCAACAATGATTATATTAATAATGACCATTCACCTGTAAAAACAATACTACTTACATTCAACAACACATCCACCTAAAATAATTCATCGAACACGATACGATGTGCACATTACAAACACAATTTTTCACAATAATTATGTTTTCAGTTAGGCACTTTGCCATTATTACTACTGTTAATATTACTATTAGCCGCATCACCACCACCTTTCTTATATTTCCTATGTCTTCGCTTCTTCACAGTTCCATTTTTTCCCTTAGCATTCGCACTGACCACCGGACGTTTCTTCTTTTTTTTCATCGATAATGGGTTTGGTCCTTTGATTTTCCTTTTTTTCCTCTTCACTGATGCGTCTTCATCATCACCGATTATTTTACGTTTCAGCTGATTGATTGCATTCAAATCATCTTTCGGACGATTCAACGCCTGCAATCGTATCATTCAAAAGCCTCGAACGAAACTGAACGAATCCCCGCAGTGGCCACAGGCCGTTTGGAGGAGAAATAATTTGGTGGGAGGAACGAACGACTGAAAGAATCAATGTACCTCCATCGTCGCTTCGCTGACTTTATCGATCAGGATTCCTTTATATTTTATGAACAATATTGGTGCTCCACGAAGTTGCCGTAGTGAATCCGTGAGAGCATTGTCCTGAATAAAAGTAACACTCCATATCGTATGTTTTGATGGATCGTCTAACGACCACCACAAATCATCATCATTACTTTCATCAATTTCGCACGCTTGATAACTTATATGCAGACTCTCAGTTAGGATTGATTTCCACACAAATTCAGATAATAAATAAAAGTTACACCATAACATGCTAACATAATTCATAATTCCTTTCAGCAACAATATTACTTCTCCGACATTACAACAGTGAACGAATAATCTTCCTTCTAATTGTTATATATTGAATCAAACGAACTCAAATTTACATCACACGAACTAACTATATTATCACTGCTACAACAACTATTCCAATAAAACAACACAAACTTGAGTGGCAATCAAATATTTAGTTTTGCTTTCCATTCGACGAGCCATATGTCGAATACACTCTGAGGCGCTCCGTAGCGGTTCGTGAGGACACGGATCAATCTACAAAATCAATGCTTCTTTGGCAGGTACTTTCAGCTCTTTCAGATCTTCAAAAAACTAATACACTAGTGAAAAGTTCAGAAGAATTATTCAAGAACTTCATTTAGGTTTCCTCAATACCAATCAAAAGAATTCAGATCTACTCACAAGTGAATGAACAACAAAATCTTACCGTGAACTGCTTACATATGTGCAATGCACCATATAAAGCATCGCCTAGCTTTTCGAGTTCATTCAATACACATTTTGTGACACATATTTCGACTTCCTGCAGAACCAAAAACTTTATAATACCTCAAAATCAATAAAAAATAGAGAACGCAGTGTAATGTAGTCTTTGCCATTACGATTATCCCAAATAGCCGTGAAACAAAGAAACGCGAGAGAATCACAACTAGAATAAGCTATTTTTTCAATGTTTGGGTTTACAGAATAACGACTTTCACTGACTTCCAAAACGAACCTCATTCAAATATTTCGGCATCTGTTCTCGCAAATTGATTTTATTCTGTAGAGCAGCCATTGCGAATGTACCATCCATCAGAACGCGATACGGCGGATTGAAACCAAAATTATGACGATAAACTGTGAGAATTCGTTGGGCACGTTTGTATCGTTTCACTTTCATTCTTACATTCACTTATTTCGACGCGGCAGATTTCAACTGAAAACAATTGGACAATTATAAAAGACTTTAGCACATTAACCATTAAATATGACCTGTTGCTTGAAGCACTTCAGGAGGAGTTCAAATTCTTTTGCACAATTCCCTTTGGCAATCCTCTCGGGTTCCTTAGCAATACAACGGCCGTAACTAAGTGCCTTTAATAAACTCCACTCGTAATGATGAATGCTGATTTCAAAAAAAAATAAATAAAATGATGTTTTCATTTTCACACAAGCATGTATTGAATTCGTAAACTGCTGACCAAAAGCTACTGAAACAACTTTTCGAAAAACTACTATGAAAGAACGTTGAAATCTTCGGAAGAGACTCACTTCTGGAGAACAATTACTCAGATAAGTGGCGTACTTCAATAGTCTTTGCTCATTAGGCATTACCGAATATTCGAATATCTGCAATTTTTCGTGAATTGAAAAGTTTTTTGTGAAATTCTTCATCATCTTCAGAGTGCTTCTTTTCATAAAAACATCCCACTTGTACGAATACAATAAACATCTATGTGGATCTTAAGAGCCGTTATGTGAAGCAAATGAATCGTGAAACAACAATAAAAGATAGAAATCATTTATTGAATCGTACTTGAAACCACAACGAAACTGATCAGAAGAAAAAAATTCTACAAATACATATAACCGAAATGCCGTATTGAAGATTGCTAGCGTGAGAATCTAATGGAACTCTTCGACACGAAAAACAAGTGAATTGGCAAGAACAATTTTCAACAACAACAAAGTAATCTAGCAATAATCGAAATAACAACAATATCAACAATATTAGTGCTTGTAACGTAACGAATCAGCCCAATAACCAGTAGTGAACATATTCACAATCTAGAGTGCAGAATCACAGAATCGTCGCAAAAATAAATACTTCAACTCTCGAAATGCAACTAAAGTCAATTCAGTACATTACAAAACCATACAATTACAGACCGATATGGATTACACATTTTAAGAAACAACCGAAAATTTCGTGGAATTTTCTATTGTACGGCCAAATTTGACACGGATTGAGGTGGCGGCAGCGAGAACACATAGGTGGTCAGTTGATGAAGGTCAGTGGAACAGAGGGTGTTCTGAAGGGGTGAATCGAAGCGAGTTGACGCAATCCGTGAATAACTATCGGCCATCACTGGGATAGCACGAGCAAACGGCAAATCATTCGATTTGGTATGTTCGCTAAACACCTGAAAGTGAGTAAATCTGTACTCATTCATTCGGCTGCTGCCACAAATAACAAACATTTGAAACTTTCATAAGATTTTCACAACGCTTTTGTATGTACGGCAAAGTATGACATTGTACTGAAAAACTAATTTCATCGCAACATTTTTATTAATGTTCAAACTAAATAATCGGGGTTTTCTTCCGCGGAAACTTAATTCAACTTCAGAAGTGAATTCATGAAAGTTTATCCTCACTGATTGCATAAAGAAATCTCGTTAATACTGCAGGCGCAAGTGATGAAATTCGATCCAAGAACACTATGACCATCGATGATCAATCATTCTCGACTGAACTGGGCACGCAAAAATGACACTGATAAATAGGTGCAAACAAAAAATATCACACGAAAACTAACATTTACAAGCGTATTGATATAACAGTCTACCGAAGTTGACGTAACTGATTTGCATGTTGTTGATTCCAACATCTCAACCAACCGATGCAATAGTGCTTGTAAATCACCCGAATGCGGCAAAGCAAAAGCATCCCAAATTCAAAAAATATCAAATAAAAAACTGGCTTCAATCATACAGAATAACCAACCCATCTCTTCACGAACTAAACCATTTGAAAATAAAATAATATTACTCAAAACCGATAACAACGAACTTGATTCGCGAATTTCGGCACCACAATATACGAGAAGTGACGAGTATCGATCGAGTACAATCGACATTTGATTTGTTCGAGCAATTCTCTCAACGTTTCCGAACTGAATTCTCGTCTCAAACTCACTCTTTGCAATTTATCCTCACATATCGATTCGATTCGATTCAGAAGTTCTTCAACACCTGCAATATCTCTCAACAGTCACTTCGCATCTACCGCAATAACCCTATAAACGATTAAAAAAAAACGATATTGACGATAATGCAGGCATGCTCACAATAATGGTAAAAAAAAGAACAATAATGAATCGTTTGTGACAGTGAATTGAAGAAATTCTGCATAAAATTCCTCTCGAATGCATAAAACATTAAACATTACCAACTGTTGTGAAATACTGGATACATTTGAGGAATAGTTGCTGCGCATTTGCATTAATCGTAGAATGTGTATTGTGACTTGTGAATGAACCAAAATAATTACTCATATATTTGTACCACCTGCAAATTACTGCAAACTAGTGCTAACACAATCTTTTTGGCATTAGGACAATCTTGCCGTTATTCCGACTGATATCAAAAAACACACAGATTCTGCGATATCGACGGCGGGTTAGACTTCATATTTTAAAACAAAGATACAGGACAACGTTATTTGCTCAAGGACCTTAATAAAATTTACGCTTAGGCACACAATTCAGAAAATATAATTCCTTAGCGAAGATTTCAAAAGAAAGCAGAATTTACAGCACTTGTTTACTTTCTGTTTACGCGCTCGCGTGTGACTCCCCCCCGAAGTAAACAAGTGCCGAGTTTACTGAAATAAACAGCTGCTATAACGGTCGCCACTCACCAACTACTGCTATCATCGTTATGATCAAAAGACGCGCAAATATACGAAGCAAGAATTGAAATCTGACACTTCAAAGTGACACTCAACAATGAGAATGAATACGCAACAGCCATTATTCGCGCTATCACCATTACCTGAAATTATTCAGCGATATTTTATCAGCAAACCTTAAAACATTCCTTCAAAACTCCTGGTCCAATTCTGGGAAATTTTCGTCACCCTGCAGAACGAGAAAACTAATCACGGTGAAACTGCACGAGTCATCTGAAAACTTAAAATTTTCGTTTTTTGAAAAGTCCATCTTGTTTTTGTTGTTTCGAAAAAAAGTTCGTTGCTATGTTCATGATTACACTATGTGATATGACCGCTTTGTACCTTTCAAAATTGGTCACCTTACATGTCAGTTGTTAGTCGATTACATCAGTTATAATGGTGTAATGTGAAAACCAAAATTCGATACATGAAATAAAAGTAATTTACGGAACCTTAATCTTATTCCAAAGAAGAAGTTTTTCGTCTTCAGACAATTCTGGTTCATTTCTGAGCTTGCTGATGGCACTTTCAACATCGAATCTCAACGCGATACGTTTCTTTAAGCATTCAGCTAATTCAACTATTGACTTGTCACAAGCTCGTTGATTAGTATCATATATATAATGACGTCTTGCCTGAACGAAACACGCATCCTTTATCATCGAAACAATATTGCTAAAATGTCGATAAGCAAGAAATGGGTGAACAACTAACTCTTACAATGAAGTCATAATTCAGAACCGAAAGGAACCATAACACTCCCTCAGCTGGAGTCAATTAGAATCGGATGATTCAGACTGATTAAGCATTCGTTCACCTGAATTCGCAGTGGATCATTGTTGATGGATTCGGCCACTTGTTGCTCCAATAAAATATTCTTAACAGTATTATGTATCAAATACGCACCACCGACCAACGCACTACCAAACAGGATTTTGTTACGATGTCGCTTTATGAATGCAAATATTGATGACATCTGCAAATTGAACGTACCATTCTTCCGAGTGAAGTAAAACCTCGATTTCAATCATCATTAATGTCAATTCCAGCCGATTTACGTAAACTCAAACAACGACGTCATGAACGATAACATTTCTGAGTTAGTAACAAAAACGAATCATTGAATGTTTCGTTGCTAACGAATAATTCAAGCTTAAAATTGATATTCATGGAATTGCTTATCACTTTCTTTTTAAGTCAGTTTTGTCAAGTATATTTCTACTCTTGATTTCCTTCAGAGATGAGGGAGAGTAACTTGGAAGAGTGAATGGGTAACGGTTCGTTTGGAGAAGAATAGAATGAGATGGACGGATGATGACGATAGTTTATGGAGTCTCAACCAGGAATGATAAAAGAAATCAACACTGCAAATGTTTGCAGAAAATCGGGCATCACGTAAGAAACTCTACTCCACATGGAGTTTATATTGGCATCGTACACAGAATATGTGGCTTTGAGGGCGTCATAAGCTTATATCACATTAGCATATCATCCAATCCTGTCGCTAATTGAAAGTATATCCTGACGCTATGAATGCTAATCTCCCATAGTCTTCGAATTACGCTGTTTTGAACTGCTGCATTCTGTAAATTGAGCTTCACATTGCCTCGAAGTATAATATTTAATGTTGACAATATGCATAATATCGAATTTATGCTCATCCAATACCTTTGCGTTGTTAAATTTATCTTCATCCATCATGAAGCGATTCGTAATGAACATTTCCTTACGATATTTGGCACTTATACCACATATCATAGAAAATTTCCTCTCCTGTTGCTGTACGTATTGATTTTGGGTTGGTTTTGGTAAGTAGGATGGGTTCTTTAAAAATTTTCTCGGTGCTTTTGTAAAATTTCCAAGTATTTGGCCATGCTATGTTAATTCAGTGGTATCATAGTGAGATATGCCCATTTGATAGTATCGAACGATGTTTTGACATTTTTATTCTGTGGAGAACTGAAGTATTCAATTTTAAACTCATTCACTGCCTTTAGTGACATTAAGATTTACTGTATCGTTTACTGAATTAGTGATACGTGGAATTGCGACCACTGTTTTGTAGAAATCGTTATATTGTTAGTAATTTTAAGTACACAAACTCTACAGGCAGGTTTAAACGTAGTTGATTGAGGTAAAATGAAGACTGAAACGTGCCTATATTCGGGCTATAAGATTCATCCAGGTCATGGAAAACGTATGGTACGAGCCGATGGAAAAGTAAGTTCATTCAATCAGTCATAATGTCATCACAGGCTGTTTTTGTTTCATCCCTAGATAATTTCTTCATTGATATGTAACAGGTGACGTTAAAAAAACATTTTTTAACGTTTCCTCGTGCAAAGTGATGGTTTTCTATGTTCATCGCTCTGATCTAGTAAAGAGCCGTTACAATTGCATGCCTTCATTCCACTCTTATCCACCAATTTGATTGGATTCAATAGCTCATTTGTTATATGTGAACTCGGATTTTTCAAGATGGTTTATCATAGGCGGAAGGAGTTGAATAACGTTTTACCCAAACATTTTAGGTACACATATTCCTGTCAAAGAAGTGTCAACGATCCTACAGATTGAAAAGGAATCCTCGCGACATTCCTTGGACAGTGCTTTATCGTCGTAAGCATAAGAAGGTTCGCCTTTCAGCGTACTGCTCTTTCGTTTCGCCCCTCGGTTCTTCATTCACATATTGTCTCTCATTGTACGGATGAGGATCACCTTCATATAATATGCCAATTTTATCAAAGATGCCAACCATTTTAGTGCAGTGAACGAAAGTGCTCTCCCATCCAGCATGCGTGCAATCGAGAATGCAATGTGGAAAGCTCTAAACGTTTACATTTGAAACTGCAAGAATTTGGACTATTTTTGTGTTGATTACTGATACAAAGGAATGATTTTTGTAGGGTGTTCACGGTGAAGAAAGCACACAGAAGAAGCGTACAAAGCGTGTGATTCACGTGGCGTCAAGAGCTGTCGGCAACGTGTCGTTAGAAGCCATTTTGGCGAAACGTAATCAGCGACCTGAATTCCGACATGCACAACGTGAGGCTGCCATCAAGGCCGCAAAAGAGGCTCAACGAGCTGCGAAGAGCGAAAAGAAGGCGGCCACTAAAGTAGTTAAGGTATTATTTCAAGTTTGGTTCGATGATTTTTGTTCATAGTTGACTTTGTCGTGAGGAATAGTTAGCTTGATTGCGGATGAAGAGTACTATTGAAGGGTTGATTGATTTTGTTCTGATGGGTGTTCCATCAGTCGCGAAGAATCAAGAGGGTTGAAGTGAAGAGTTCTTGTTGGTTGGTTATGTTTTGATGGATGATGACGATTTTGGTGGGTACATTCTGAGTGAAGACCGTATGTGCTTGAGATGTGTACATTTCGGTGAAAACGTCAGGCTGAATTATTCTTAGTTAACAGGACGCTAACATTTAAATTGTTTCGATAAAATTGGGAAGGGAATGTCTGACAAAATGGTAACGCTCAGTTGGTATAGGATTGATGAAGTTTCATGCCGCAATTAGAATTACAATTCATTTTGTTTCGGTTAAAATTATGATTCAGTTGTTGTTGTTTTTTCACGTTCGTGTTTTATTTGAGGAGAAGAAGGCAGCTCAACCAAAAATGAAAGCACCCAAACCAATGAAGAGTCAACAACCACGAGTTGGTGGAAAGCGTTGAATTTGAATTTCGTTCATGTTGTTGTTTTTGTTGTGTTGTATTTATGATGTTACAGCAGAAATAAATCACCGTATGTTGTTATCAATGTTGTGCAATTTGAGCACAGTATATTAATTTGAATTTCTTGAGATATTGTTGTGAGTAAGAATTGGATATGTTGTTCTTTTTTCATGGTAGATTGATCTTGATAAATCATCGCGTTTTTGAAATGATGATTAGAGAAACAGAAGTAACCTACCTATGGAACAACTTTTGAACAGCTTTTCGCAAACGCCTTTATTAGCAACGAATGGACCGCAGTGGGAAACAGTTGTAGTTGGTGTATTGTGAATGGATATGTTGGGATCAGTGCAATATGAAATGAGGAAATAATTGGACAAGTATTTTTTACTGGAATCATTGTATCGCATACATATAAAAGATATCACATTTGAAAAGGGAGGACAATATTAAGTATCTAACGAAAAAACTAATCAGTAGTACCTGAATAACAACAAAATTTTTCGAACAATTCGGAATGATGATGAAAGTTTTGTAACTGTCAATAGTGAACAGTACCAGTTTATTCCATGATCGGTGATCGATGTATGAAACTGAGTTAGGGGCAATTATTTGGTTTTTGAGGCGAAAGCACATAAAGTACGAAGCAAAAAATAGAGAATCATCAACAAGAAAATTGAAACACTGAATGAATTAACTGGCAGTTAGCTCAACGAAAAAAAGAAATGTGAAATTTGAAGACGGGAAGGAATTGAAAAATCTTTGGTTTCTGAGTGAAATTCCTTTGTATCACATTCTCGCTACCAGTGATGTTGAGGTGGTGTGTTGTTGGGCTTGACGTTGAAGCAACAAATGCAGTAACGCCTGAATACGATGATCAATTAAATATTCGCGAAAGATCGTTGACTAATGCAACTTTCTCATCAATTCAAGTTGAACTTATTGAGCTGTACAAGACGATGTTTTGCGCATTTCAAATCATGAATTGAACTAGCAATTTATTTTTGTCGAAAAATCCGTCTGCCCAGTGGTTATTCGTATAAGCAGTGATGTATTAAAATCTTTTGAAATTTGCTTCACCTGATCAATTTTTTGAGCAAAATTTTTTTGCTGATTCTGCAGCAGTGAAAAATAAATTTCTTTGTAGAAAAATTTAGGCCTGAAGTTTCTGAAATTGCTCAGACCCTCTCCATTATAACTCATTGATTCAACGAGCGAAACTTTCTTTCAGCCTTAGATCAGAGATGATTCGAAGATTTTTTGATAGTAACAAGTGTAGAAACTTGAAAATTGGTTGAAATATAAACCTCAATCGACGGTGGAGGTATGATGAACTCATTGGATTCGATGCATTTAAGGGACAGAGATCTTAGGGCTGGCAATCGAAGTAATAACTTGGCGAATCGTTGTGGTTGGTTGGGATTCTGTTGATTACAGTACTCCTCCAAACAATGGTAAACTTTTTCACGTTGATTTTCGATCACTGCGCTACATTGTAACCCAGGTACATCTGCAACAAAAGAGAATCGATCCGAGATAAAACAGTCTATGATGAGAATAGTAGCTGCTCAGAAACTGCAGATTTGATCAGATAACGTTTCCTGTTTAACTCATAGCTAGTACCTATCCAACTGCCATAAAAAATCTAAAGCTGAATTGTCTGAAAAGTACAAGCTGCGCATTCACCGAATCCATGAAATTCGTCATGACAACATAAGAAACTTTTCGAAACTGTTCAGAGACGGAGTTTGTGGCTTAGGCTTAAAGGCATGACGGATGAATTATATGAAGATACAAACAGAACGTCTAACTGAGTAATCTCATACCAGGATTGAACAATACAATTGATCTGAGTGCACCCAACTCCATACGATCAATCACCAACTCACGCATTTTACCCGTCAATTCTCGAAGTATTCGACCAAACAGAATCTGACAACCGCGCTTCTCAGCCTCACATCGTTCCATTGGTCGTTCAGGCCATAACATCAACTTTTCACGAGTTGATCGAAACGCTACATCGGCAAGAATCAGTTCATTCCAACCTTAATAAAATAACCATTCAATCTACCACTTCAAAAATTCAGTGTTTCAGCGAACTCAGTGGACTTAGAATTGGACAGAGGATGAATGTTACGTGTGTACGGCGGTGATAACAGATAGCAATATCAGTTGGAATAATGAGGACTGAAGCCTTCATAAAACTTATGAGCTTTTAATGGATTGCATCAAGCCTGATCGCATGCGATTAAATCTCTGATCTGCAAGAGATACTGGAAAAGAGGTCGCATTCCAAACCATTGTCAGATAATCTTCACCCATTCAATGGCTAGTGATAAATCTGATTCAAATGTGAAATGCCTCAAAAACCATACAGCAAATTGACATACCAGAATAAATAAGCCTGGATTGGTCCTCAACCGGAATATCACCAAATGAAGGAATCATCAGCGCCCAGTCAATTATCCTCATTATTTGCCATTCCACTGAATCGCCACTATTCATATCATTCGACTCAATCTGAACAAACCGATTTTATTGAACCTCAATGAATGCGAAAGCTTTTATTCATTAGTTTGAATTGTCGTCCATTTTGATTGATCGTTTGATCAGTCGGATGGATCAATTGGATTAACCAGATCTTAGGAAAAACTTGATTTCAAATAAGCACGAAGTTAAATGTTTAGACTGGCGACATCCTCAAACATCTATTCGGAACCACACTTCACCTCAGTAAATCAATTCAATGTGAGAATGCTTCTATGCACTTGTGATTTTCAACCTTGATATTATTGAGAAGTGCTTCAGAAGCCTCCTCAGCGTCTACAATACTCTCCGGGGGCATATCCGTATTGAGGCCACTCGTACTTTCAGGTTCCATTCGATTCGATATCATTTGTGAGACGAACATTTTTGCTGATTCATTTCGAGACGTTTGACGTTCCTCTTGAACTGCTAAAGTATCGAATATCTCATTTGAGTGAACGACATAAACCAGAATTGTTGGCGATCTCAGATGAATTCTTATGGTTAGTTTTTTTGGGAAGTATTCCCCTCGTAATTCGAAGTCATCACCTGACTTGGAACAGTTGAATTCAATCGTTTTACATAAAGCATTCAATTACGGTTAAAAGCATTCAGTTGTACATGGCTTTTTTTAGATTTCAAGTAGGCATGGAGTAAAGTGCTTGTAAGAAAGTTTTGCAAGCGTTCGATTAGGTGCATGATATGGACCAAGGATAGCTAAACGCAGTAAGAAGATAAATTGATGATCTGGAATTTGATCACGCTACATTGTCACGCATTCAGAAATTTCTTTGATAAACTGCAGAACATAACGATAAACTGAACAGACATATCACCCACCTTCTCGTTTCATACCCATACTCTGACATTTTCGATAACGACAATATTGACAACGATTCCGTTGTCGTTTATCGATAACACAATTACGATTTTCACGGCACGAATAGGTGAGTTCCTTACGGACGGTTCGTTTAAAGAAACCTTTGCATCCTTCACAACTGGAATCCAGGAAAACGATTACACTACCAGAAAATCAGAACACTTTCTACGGGAACAATCGAATATTCAATGGGTTGGAATTCAAGTATGTAGATGAGACGTTGAGAGAATTTCAGAATGTTTGCTGCAGTGAAGAATAAGATGAACAAATGATCACAGCAATTGATCTGGCAATGTGCTGACGCATGCACTGAACGCAGCACTATTCATGTGGAATTTCTGAAATTCCTAGGCAAGATTCCAATCGGACTGGGAAAGGATGCAGAGAATCACCTCAAAGGTCAGATAAACGCTGTTTTTACGCGTTTTAGTTCAAGTATTCGGACTGTTCGCCAGCATACAATGATTAAACACAATCAATTTGTGAATTGATTACGCAGAAAGTTTTTCGGCAAACACTCACCTATATACACCGTAGTGTTTTCCGGATGCTCGATCACCGCAAATTGCACAGATGTGTTTCGCTGAATTCAGTGGATGTTGTTGGTTTGGAGTGAGCGGTGAGGACTGTACTGTATAGGTGAGCATGGATGGGGTTGTACTTAAAATCAGGCGCTCATTTATTAATGCAAAAGTTCATTTATTGGTTTGTTATTGAAGTACAAAAGGCGAATAATCAGTTTTCATTCACTCACAATAATCGCCCGAATAGATAAGTTTTCTTTGTTGACAAAGCAACGTAATATTTTGAGAAAACAACAAACTAGCAAAACAATCAAGTTGTGCATTCGACTATTGTTCAGAACTTACCTTGTCACTTCATCGTTCATATTTAAGAATTCAAGCGCATTTCCATCGGATGATTGATCGACGATCAGCGGTACACTACCAACCAACATTCCTGTACTCGACTGCACATTAGTTTGCTTGTGGGCGACTCTTCTGAAGTTGAAATTTTACCATTATTGCCATGTTCCATTGACAGCGTCACTTCGTGAATATCGCACGTTTTCAAAAGACAGTTTCACAGAACGCACAATGAACTATCATTGAAACATCATCGATCGAATAACCCTCGAATCAGTCTGCATGCAATTCTTCAAAGAATCCCATTTAAGGAGCATCATTACCTCTTCACCTCCTTGTCATCGTTATCAAACGCTAATTGTACAAATTATGAGATGAACATGATCTGAACAGATAAATCTCTAAGCTTTGCAGTTCATCAGATGGCTTTGCAATTCCCAATTGCGATGGAGACGGAAAATAATTTTGAAGCTTGATGTCACACTCTATCATGAATAGATTATTTCTATCATGTAATGAAATAGACTGATGGAAGGGGATATTAAGAAGTATTGTACTGCCATTGTGTTCGTTACAAAAGACAGAATGATGACAAGGGACGGTGTGGGTAGCAGATTGAAGAACAGACAACGACGACAAATCAGAGAAGTGCGAATATGATCTTTGGATTGATGATGAAAAAGGACGGATGAAAGAAAATAACATCTGAATTCAAATAAATCATCTGTTATGAAACCAATGCGAAAGGTCATCATCACAACGAAGATTCATCAAGTGATTCGTCACAGCGAGAGAAGTCAGTAGTGATTATGATTCACATTGGTACTGTTATTGTTGTTGCTGTTGTTCTCGTTGCGTTTGATTCAATAACAACCTAGAAAAGGTTCAAACGTTTATTACCATTGTATTGATCATGATCGTGTGCAGAGTGATGAACGTGAATAGATGCATGAACGAGCAATTTATTGAATGCTGCCGTGGACAGTGTGATGCGATTCGAGTGCGGCTGTTTCCGTGTATTGTGCCAGCAGCAGATTTACGAGTCTATGATCCGCACATGAACGCACGGCACCACACAACTTATAAGTGAAATCGTCATCTCATGGCGTAATATAGAGCAACATCCAACACATTTGAGGTTTGAGATATCCTTGTGAGGTATATGATCATTGGAAATGTTCGAAGATTTTATAGATCAAGATCAGTTCCGAAAAGTCGAGCAAAAGTTCCATGAATCAATCATTTCATTGTCACATTGATGATTTAGAGGATTAGTATCCAATTGTTCGGCACCGAGGAAGCTGTAAACAGGCGGATCACAGGCAACAGGATGTTCGTGTCCGCCGCATTATTACTTTGCTCAATGGAACTCTGCTCAAAAAGAAGTTGACCCACCCAATTCATCGTATTCGGAATGAACAGCTAACTGAACAGTGAGAATGAAATTTATGCAGTTGCATAATGATTTTGAATGGAAAGGGATTAAATGATGCATTCAAGCTTCTCAAGTTCAAATTTAAATGCAATTCGAAATGCGTGCGTAAAAATCGTTAGAGAGGAAGAAGAAGTAAACTATTTCATGAAAAATGAGAAGAAGCAATTAAAAGCAAGGTCAACAATGGATTACAGCGATAATTTTGTGACAACAGACTGGTACGACGATACATGGGCAACGGAGACAGACATCGGCAGCGGTTGAGGTCAAAAGTTTGTGCGCAAAAGATAGATATGGCTATATTCATTCACAAAACATCGTTGGGTAATCATCATCATACACAACAGTCTGATACAACACCACACTCAATCATCATGATAATCAGACGGAAAGTATTTGCAATCAGGCATGTAACAGTTTTTCATTCCAAATTGAAAAACAAATTGTTTTCTAATCGAACATTACATGTATGCATGCGATGGACGATTTTTCGTTTTGTTTTTGAAATAACAAACAGAGTAATTCATCAAATTATTACATTGCTGGTGAGGTTTTATTCGTTTTCATCGTTTCTTTTTGTCTCAGTTCAATCACATTCATCTGCTGATCGATCGTTGTTGCTTTGTACAAAATGGTACTGTAATGAACTTGTTTTTACGTCGTCCTATCAACAAAATCAGGATTTTGATGAGCAGTGAGTAACAAATGAGTGATGCTTTCAAAAAATATTCCATAACATTGAGAAGCAAAATTGAGAGCGATAAAACGCTTCACATTGCCTTAATTTCAACTTTTCTGAAGTATTGACAAGTTGATCATTGCTTTCGAATGAAGAAAGACTGATTCGTGTTCATCTAGAATCAACACTTTTCTCATGACAATTCACAGTTACCAACAAATGGAAATTTGTCTGAAAAGATGAAACGTGACTGTGCTCTTATCACCATTATCAGCTCTGTTTTGAATATTATCAGTATCTTTTGTAGCGATGTCTCTAAGAGTATAAATAGGAGTGATCGAAACAAATACGTATCTGTTTTGAAGCGGAGGACAACGGGATGAAGCTATTCGAATGTGTTCACGTAAAAATAGGTAGCAGCAACAAATGAAGTCGTCGTTGATTTGATACAAAACGATTCCTAATGATTTCTTGAAAACATCAAATTGATTTTACCGTCAAAGAAAGATTTCTGTGATGAAGAACGATGCAAAAATGATGACGATTACCATGCGTATTTTAAGAGAGCAATAAGATGAAATTGTTGTAATAGAAGAGGATTTTGATAGACGTAACGAATAAATTTTGAGCGATGTGTACAATCATTGCAATAAGTTGGATAAATTTCAGCATATTCGGGTTCTAAAAGCATTTCGTTGCAATTAACTTGACAATAACCTTGGCGTTCCATAAAGCATCAATTCACTTCTAAAAAGTGATTCGTAATGCCCCAACGATGTGACATATTTGTTCATATTCATTGTGGTTTCATTCAAGCAACACAAACAAATCCGCAATCAGCTTCATTCTAAAACACATTTGTTTCGCATCAATCCAATGCTCCCACCCATGAAATCGAACTTCTGATGATACATCTGAATCATCTTGGTGACGAAGAATATGAAAATCTTGAAAAAGAAATGAGAAACTTGGGAAAGTCTTGAGGAGAACATTTGAGAAAAGAGATGATGGTTTCAGTCCAAAAATTAGGTATAATGATAACAGGTTAAATTTAATTAACTGTGAGATGAGAATCCAAGACATCTAGAGTTTGATTTCAAGGCAACCTTCACGATTAATGTTCATAATCTTTTTAAATGAGTGATTTTATCCTACTTCCTTAATCGTACATTCGTTGGAATATTTTTCACAACACAAATATTTCTTCTCATCGATATTTTCTCTCTCGTATCGTCAGCCACTACTCTGCTCAAAATTTCCATCGCGGTTTAAAAATTCAATGAAAATTTTCCAACGCTCATATGACCTTACATCAATCACACTGTATTAATGTATAATTCCGTTTGATTATCATCGAAAATGATCTGAGAAAGGAGTTGTTTTGTGTTTTCACAAATTGATAAAATTCGTTTCAGTGCTACAGTATCCATCATTTTTCAATGCCATTCGAGCAAAATTTTAATATTCCTGTGCCTTTTTCGCAATATAAAGGAGCCCATATAAAAGCTCAGCTGTCGAACATGAGTTCTACACGTTTGCATCACTACAAGAATGTTTCTTCGGAATTTTCATGCTTGTAATCAATATTCTAATTTCAAGACAATCATAATGAACGCATACAATCAAATTATTAAGCAATGAGCATTTCCTTGTCAAATATGAGGATATCAACAGTCTAATCCAACTTTGAAGCGTTCAAGATGTTAACGAAGCGAAACACTCCGCAGTTCAAATGATCATATTACTCATCATTGACATCATTCATTTTTGTGGATATAATGGACATTTGAAAATCAAACTCGAAGGGATTCCAGAATAATGGAAAGGGAACATGGGAAAAGTCCATTTTAAAACCAAATGAATATTATCAATCAGCTTAAGAATAAGCTAAAGATAACATGAAATAAATGGGAAGCGCATACAGAACATAGGACTTTCGAATATTCTCAGCTGATCCAAGCCAACTGGACTGAAGTACTGATTCATAATAAATACTGATTCGATAGAGAAATAATGCAAGCGGTATAAATGTAGATATGGATATGAATTGATCATTGCATAGAATAAGTCCACCAGATGCATAGTTAGTTTGTTGATTTCACACCTATCCGTCATTCATTGTTTGATATATATGCAGGCATCAATGATAAACGAAGGTCATCGAATACCTTCGCCCATCTACTACGTACCAAGAGGCACATCAATGAATAAAGATGCAAGGACATCTCGAAAAGTTGAAATCGTATACAACAGTGATGTTGCAGAATTTGTTCTATTCGCTCATCATTTCTCAGTAAGATATAGGGTTAACACTTTGATTTAGACTTGATTTTGTGTCACAAAATTCATATATGTTCGGGTTTTTCACAGTCTCTTAAACTTGAGTGATAACCTTTTGGTTTTCCCAGTTAGACTGCGGTAGACGACAGCTCATGAAAGATCAACGTCGAAGTTATTTTGGCTAAGGATTTTCAGTTTTAGTTGTGAAGTGAGTTGAAAATGGAATGCATTAGAAAGTGAGAATGGAGGAATGATGATTTTGAGATGAGTAAAGTTGCAAAATGAAGCGGAAACAAATGATTCGAATTTTCACAAAGCAAATGAGTTCAACATGGTTACTTTTATGTTTTCACAGTTAGTCATGAAAACTCACAAAACAAACACGATGAAATAACACCAGACAAAGCAGCAAACATTTCAAACGACTAAATTCAACGAAACTCACAAATTTTCAATGCCATCTTCACATGTAAACAACATTTAAGTTGGAATTTTATTTGAATCGCTCATAAAATGATATTTTGTTGAAATGCATTGTGTAACGTATTGTATCGTGTGATCAATAGAAACTGGGCAGTTTAAAACTGTTTCTTTTATATTAATAAGGAAATTCCACAAGTGTTTGCTCAACAACATACCTTGAGATCATATATTGGGGGTTTCAGGTTATGTATTGTGCGGTACAATTTTACTGTTTAATTCTCTGGGGTATAGTCATTATTCTGTATAATTCTTCAGAAAAAAAAACTCAAATTGAGAGCATAACTTATTCTCACACAGAATTATCTATCGAAAAAGTTTTAAAGTATTACTCTGGATGCTTTTTCGATAGTTTAATATTTTCAGAGACCAAATGAACGAAAACATTTCAAGCAACTGGTTCCAAGGTTATTATTTGCTAACAGTGACCATGTGATTTCATGAAAGCATCTTATATTATACAGAATTTCCAGAAGACACTTTCAAATCAAAACAATTTCGATTTATTTTTTAGCAGTACAGATCGATCATTTCAGCTGTCTGAGCCAAAACAAATCATTTCATTCCCTTCTATAGTACTACGATTCGAGTGAGAACTGATGAGCTTGGAAATGATTCCGAATCCAACCTGAAACCTTCGAAAACTTTGAATTTTAACAGGGAATATCGCTTTCATTTTAGCTTATTCTGTGATTTCGATTTATTCTGCATAGAAAACAATGAAACGCATATCACTGAACCTTTCAACGAGAGGAACTTGTTTATTCGCAATTTAATTATACATACAACACATATAATCCACATTGAACGCAAGATGGATGACTCTCAAGAAGACATGCACTGCCCATTCAAGTGCTCCAGAAATTTTCCAAGTGTTCGCGCTTAACACTCATCGACGCATTTCGAATATGAACCGAAAATGGAAATGTTTGCTCGTATTTACTGCGAAACTGTTCGTCTCCCTCACAACTGTTCCACTCATCAAAACGTACCTTTCGGCAACAATATACAACAACAACAACCGAATGAACAATTAAACCTAATGCATAACAAATGAACATTATAACAAAAACATTCGCAACCAGATAATTATTACGAATTATCAAAATTGAAAAAAACGAATGGAAAACAAAAACATCTTCTGTACAATGATAGGTCACGAGGATGGTTTTATGCCAAAATACAAAATGGGACAACACGGAATCAATTTAAGACAAAATAAATCGTGATCAAGAAAAAATCAGTTGCGATCATAACCAAAAATATGTCAATAACAATGACTCATTTCATAGAAATAGCTAAAGGTTACAATGCTGGAATTCAAAGAACTGAATGAAACACACTCTCTCATTTAAATGCTCTCTCATTTACACTAACCGACAAAGTGAGCAATTTGCATTTCTTGAAAAATTTTGATTCCATTTACGAAAATTAAATTATTGAAGTGAAAATGGTGCGTATTCAATGAATAAATCAATCTGAAGTAAGGAAGAGTGATAGCTGATAGTAGAAACTCATGAAAATAGATCATTATCGCCGTAGTTGATCAAATCACGATCTGGAACGACGGATTTCTGCTTCCCGTTGGTTTCGGATTCTGAGCGAGAAGCAGTTTCTTTTGATGTTGATGGAGATGTGGCAGATGGTGAAGACGATTGTTGTTTCTGGTGATGTTGTTTGGAAGCAGACGAAACTTGAAAGAAATTGTTCTCGGTTACTTCATTGCAACAGGGAACTATTGTCAATAAAATCTAATGCTCGTAAACTCAAGTTGTGCACGCATCCGAAGTGTTAAGTTACAAACCTGCGCCAATATCAACCGGTCAACGTAAGTAACTGATGATTTAGACGAAATCTGTATCTCAATGAATTTAGGAGACAAGTGGCATATTCGAGCCCAGAAATCTTGATGATCATGTAGGAAGATTTGGAAAACTCGTGTCGAGAAGGAGGAAGAAGTTTTTCTAGCAAACAATGATTCAACTTATTTGGGAATGTAATTAGGAAATGCGACTTTCTTTCGTCTTACGTTCACAACAAAAATGCACAATAGTGACTTATTCGATTAAATTAAAGCATCGCAACGATCGAAATAAAGTCTACCCAACGACTTATTCAGCGAATATTGGACATATTCACCGAACACAAACAAACCAAATGACGATGAGACAGCAACAAATAAATGCTATTTATGAGTAAAACTCACTAAGTATCACTCAATTTTGTTCATCATAAACCAGCATGAATAACGAAATTCCACATCGATTTCATAACGCAAAACGAAACTGCTTGTTTGCTCGCTCACTTTGCAGCACTATTTTGTTAGCAAAAAAATTGATCTCATTCCTCACCGAAAATGAATGAATTCATTTGAACTCCGAAATTTTTTATATCAGAGGATTTGATGATAGGAACTAAGCTGAAATCGAAATAGGACAGAAAAACATACCCGCTTGACTCCAAGCGAGCAAAGCTGACGGTGTTTTTGTATAGCCAGGAGGTGATCCAATTTCGTCAATTCCTTTCGTTGGATGACCGCGAGAATCGTGGCTTTTGGGTGTCTGATCCGTTGATAACCCACGACGAAACGACCCGACTGAATCTGGAGAAATTTGTTCCAATTGATCACTTCCCGTTTTAGTGGAGCCATACGGTGTTGGGTTACCAGACTGATTCGCATCATGAATTCCAAAATGTCTTCTTCCTCTCGCAGCAACACTTGGTCCCGCCGCACCTCGTCCACGGTCTCCTTTCATCATCGACGCACCAGCTCGTACTCCCCGACCACCAAAACGACGCATATTAGTTGAATTCTGACTTTGGAATCTCTCTTGGCAACCTCCGAATCCATCAGTATCAACCGATAACTTTTGCGGATTTTGTTGCTTAGATTTCTGCTGTTGATCGGATTCTGGAAGTTGTGATTCGCCTTCGCTTGCAGATCTGGATGAACGATCTGAACCTGGTGAACATCTTGACGCATTCGTTTTCACTGCTTTGGCAGAACCGTGTTGTGGAGATTTTTGGCTTGGATTCGCATTTTTCTGAGTGAACTTCCCTCCCGCTGTCGTCGCTTCGTTAAGCGATTTGGCGCGTCGTTTCGGCCGAGGTGGCTTCGTATCATCTTCATCGTCCTTCGTTTCGCCTTCTTCCGCGCTACTTGGTGATCTCGATGATCGGCGTGAGCCGCCACTTCGCGATCTGGAAGAGCGCCGATCAACGCTCGGCGATCGTGACTGTTGTGACGGACGTTTCTGCCACGGCGCCAAATTTGGTAGAGGTGCTCCAGAGCCAGCTCCTCCGACCGTGGCTCCTCGGCCGCGTCCTCCACGAAGGGCGCCAGCACCGAATCTTCGCGAGCCTCGACCACCTCTCGCCATCGGTTTCCCGCTATGGCCGCCAGTAGACACTGCTGTTTGTCTATGAGCTGGACCGGCGCCCAATGGCCCATCATTTGGAGTATTTTGGTGGCTACCTGTACTCAAAGCTGAATCTGTAGACTGATATGGTCTGCTTCTATGCTTCGGCTTCGTCGTTGCATCTGCAGGTTCTTGGTCCTGGCTTGGCGATCTCGACGAGCGATTTCCACCGTCATCTTTAGAAGGCGATCGAGTAGAAGAATCGAATGATTTCTTCGCACTCTTCGCATTGTCGCCATCCAAATTACCATCTTGTGCGATAAGTTCTATCGGTTGTTTATTGCCACTTTCAGTGAACTGCTCGGAACGACGTGAATGATGATGACCAACGTTACCGAACAAGCCTAGTGGCTGCTGATCACAAGTGAATCGTCGACCCCGAAAGAAACCACGTCCGAAGTTATGCCCACCACCGCGACCCATGCCCTGCCCTCCCCGACTGCCCGTTACTACGTGATCCACGGCACCTGGACCACCAGCAATACGTGTCGTCTGATTTTGACGACGTGCAAATGAAACATGTAGTGTTATACCATTAAGCATGTAACCATCCATCTGAAATGTTATAAATTCAGTCAGTGCTCATACATCTGAAACTGCACATAGAGTTCGAATCGTTGTTAACGACATACGCAAATATTTACGCTGTTATTGACGATAGTGTTTTTTAATAGTATCAGTATTTTGGTCAATACTATTGCCTTTATTCGTGATATTACTTTTTATAACCATTATCAGTAAAACGAAAGCTTATATGTCCCAAGCAGAATATAATGAATGATTCCAAATCAACTCACATCCTTCAATGCAACTTCAGCTTCTTCTGTAGTTGAGAATGTTATGAAAGCACTTCTGAAAAATTTCCGATCCGTAAGGTTAAAATGCAATCGGTATTGTGACAAGAAAAAGATTTCAATATTACGCCGAAAATGAATAACTGAATACAGAAATGATCTCATTTTGATCACTTGATTCTATAGTTGAGTATCACACAGCAAAGACGTGATCTATTCGATCAGTAACTCTTTTATCACTGCACAACTACCCTCACAGAAACCAATCAGTATATTTTTGTGCTTATTTGTTACACTTCATTATTCTACCTCGTCTCAGTTTGTACGATTGCTTTTTTCATGTGCGAAATGTTTGTAAATTCCATTTTCCTCCCCATGCAATAGTAAATTTGATATGAATTCAGTTTTGATCAATTGGTTCTTCGTTGCTTTTCGAGTGCAAGCTTCAAAAAAAACTTAGGATCACACTAAAAATTCATGCGTAAGAAACAGATGATTGTTTCATCCGAACAACAATCACCTTTTCCGTTCTTCAACAAAAACACGCGTTATTGTTCCATGCTTCTCGAAAGCCTTTTGTAGTGAGTCGCCGACTAAATCGAAACCTCGTACGTACAACGTTGGACCCTGCAATTATTGAAAGTACTTACGCCATGACTCCAAATTTGACATCAATTCTGATCGAAAGAATCATTTCGCTGTGTTATATTTACCGCTACCATTGTGATTACCATCAGTGATATCTGAACATTATTAAGATCAATGTTATTATCACCCTTGATTTTATCATCAACCCCAAAGTCAACTAACTGCCACCTTGTTCACTTGTGGTGTTAGCTGATCACGCTGATCGAATGGTGATGATCCTGAAAGAGGTGGCGACGAGAGCGATAATCCAGTTGGTGATAAGAGCTCATTTCCACTGCTGTTGCCCTTGAAACGGAACAATTTTTTGGTGGCATTTTTAACTAAATTATGAATCATATCTAAAAGTTTAAACACTTCAAAACAGAAGAACTTGAGAATTTTTGCACAAATTCGACAAAAGACTCCTGCACACATGTCACAAACTAAAGAGAAAACGGGTGATTAACTTCACAAACGTTTGCGATTTATTTCAACACTCGTACAAAAATTTCAATTAAATCAAACTGATTTATTCTTCTTACAACTAAACGATGAGTAATATTCACTTATATTACCGTATCTGACGTATCCAGTCTCAATTTATTCGATTCACTTGCCTGTAAAACATAATACGATAAAACTTTGATGAGAGCAATATTTGTACAATATTGTTGTACTGGTTATCATGGATATATGTGCTAAAATTCTACTCTCCTGCATGAAACTTGGTAGAAGTCGATTGGAGCAATTGAAAAAACTTCTTCAGAAAATCACTTTCCATTCGTGGTTCCTAATAAAATTTCATTTTTCGCAATCAGCAAATCTTTTTCAAGAAATTGTAATTTTTCACTGAATTGCACACTTTTGTCAGTCAGTGGAAGTATTCGAGGAGATGAGAAAATGAACGAACTCTTCGTTTCGGAACAACTTTTGTGCGTTTGAAAGTACTCTTCTCGTCCGCTTTCTTTAAATTAATCGCTCCCGACATTACTTTTCGTTTCACTTCTTCAGTCACCTCTTCAGCTTGTTGAATGCCTCGAAATGTTTTGATGGATTATTGAGAGAAAATGAGCAGAATGCTGATGAACAGTAATGGTAATGATATTAACAGGGTTAATGAATACTTCGTTTGGCATTGTTACGTTCATTCTTCGACGCATCTCCACTGCTTGCACTTGCGCTTCCTCGTAATGCGGCTGCTACGGTCTTTCGCTATAATTCATCATCGAGCATTAATTTTTTGGTTTGATCCAAAGTCAAAGTATATCAGACTGAATCCTGTGAATGTATTAGTTTGAACATCTTTATGCATGGGCATTTCTCAAATAAATCGTTGAATACACAGTCTACGATACTCGACGTGATCAACTACACTCACAATGGTTTTGAACTTATCGAACATCTCCTTCAAATGCTTCTCTTCAGCACTCAACGATGTCGGAAAATTGATTGCAGTATCTCCCCTCATTCCGATTCAATTTTCCAACCCTGCAAAAAAGATTCTGCCTCAGAAACGACACAGTGAAAATTTTGAATCATCGCACAACGCGGACGAAAGTCTCCCAAGGAAATTTTCAAAGAAATTAGCGATGAAGAAATATTTCCCTGAAAATGCACTCGAAGAGAGCATTGATCAAATGATAATGATAAAATAAAAATATGTACACGATTTTGGTGTGATCAAGCAAGTATGATCAGTGAATTTGAATGAAAAATTGAGAGCATGACAATTGAAAAGTTTGTTTATTTTATGGAACACTCATCAATGAAATGAACATCAGCGAAAGCAGCGAACTGTTCACAATCATAAAACGTGAACAACAAATAAATTTACAACCAAATTCATTTGTGTGGTGTAGCAGTGACCGTTGAAAATGAATGAATAAATGAACAATACAATACTACTGAGTGATAAAAAACTGAACTCGAGAAATGGAACGGAAGCAAACAATAAGATACTCAATAAATCAATGTGGTGTCATATTTTGAGTCGACCGATGCGATTGACATTTCTATTGCTACAAGAGGTTATGAACTGATAAGTCATGAAGAATATCTGGTGGACATGGATAAGGATAGAAAGTGCATGAGCGCAAACGGATTTCAATGAAAAATGTCGAAAACACTTTGAAAACCCCACATTTTTATTAGCGATAGCAACGAGTGCTATAATGAGAAATCAAGAAATTACGATGATGGAAACTGGGAATATATAATCAAATAACTAAAGCATCAAACACATACAAACATATTTATAACAAATGAACACAATGAATCCTATTAATACAACGAAGAAAATAAAACTCTAAAAATACGGAACATTCGAAAGTAATGAATTACTATCGAAGAAGACGAAAACCCGATCGAATTTAGTAACCACTGAGTATGAGCAATCACCCAATGAGTTGAGACTAATTCAGTTAGATGTATGCAGGTCAGGTAATTAAAGAGTCGTTCGAAAAACGAACAACAATCATATAACACTCCAACGAGAAATGCTATCAATAAGAACGATACGAGCAGTAATAATGAGAATGAAGAAACATTTATTGAATTCACAACACTGCATTTTCAAATAACAATTACAATAACCCAATTACAAGTTAACTCCTCTCCGCGATCACCAGTATCATTTCACGAATATCGCAAATTTTCATTCACTACTATCTTGATTGAGAAGCATGTCATATCGATGAAGGTTACTCGAGAATTGGGAAGTGCAACTTGATGATAATGAGAACAAGAGTGTATCTTTCGTATAATGTTGAATGATCTCATAAAAGTGAAATTAGAAGCTGATGAGAGAGTTAAGTTGCGATCATGCTGAATGAATTAACTGATAATCTGAGAGTAAGAAAACATGTTTTGAAAAGATTTTCCTGCTGAAAGACAAAACATATCACAATTGGTTATCGTTGCCCGACGACATATCTAAACTCAATCCGTACGGATGAATATCTTCCATGCACAAGACAGATGAATAGTCAAATGAAATTAGACTTCACACAACAGATTGTTAAAATTTGAAACATTTTATTCTAAACATACTGATGTGCTTGCAGAGAAAAACTTTTTGCAATAGAACGAATGAGAGATTAAACTAAATTAACAATTTGGTAGAATCTGTACTAAACATGAAATGATAACTGAATGGAGGTGGGTGGCTACTCTCTAAGATTAACTGAACTCCACTATTGCACGAAAAAGTACGACTAGCAAAGCTCGACATTTGACCAAGCTTCTGTCCATTAACATGCAACGAAAGTCACTCACAGACTACTCCAAGGACCGGTCAGTACCAAATAATTCGTAAGCACAATGTAGAAATGCATCATGGATATAACATTATGAACTCCATTCATATATTCACCTATGAAATATCGTAAGATCATCGATCCATTCCAAAGAAAAAGCAAATACCATTCATCAGATTTATAAGATGAAATAATCAACTATATATATATATATATATATA